TAGCAATTAAATATTTAATTTAAGTTGATTTTTATCTATAAAGTTAGATAAATAGTCACTAATTTAAAAGTTTAGAGACTCCATTAGCCCAAAAATAAATCTCACCCACAGACTATTGTTTTTACTGTTTATTACAATTTTGTCACTTTAACTTTACATTAATTAATCTTTACATCACTCCACTCCATTTTTCTTCATTTTTTTTTTAAAAATGAATTCCAAACATGGTATATGTCATGCCAATACCAAAGTCAGTTGACATTGTTCCCTAAAATAAGCCCTTCTATTCTCCCTTATGACGGTTGTTTTTTGTTTCTTCCCATTTGGCCCAATTACCCAATGGAATTTTCCTATATGTGTATTAAAGTTGTTACTTGTGAGTCATATATTTAATATGTCGGTAAGATTAACGTTAGGATTTAACCACAATCATCGTAAATTTTAAATATTAACTTGCATGGCATATGACATTATTTTTCATATTTATAAATTTTAAAGTTAAAAATTATTAGTACATTAATTAATATTTTAATATTATATTTATTAGTAAAAAAATGCCATTTGTCACGTGAGTTGGGAAAAGAAGCTGGGAGTTTTATCATTATTTCTCCAAAAAAAAAATCGTATTTTTCTTTTTATTCTGACTTAATTAATTCAATTTAGCATACAACGCTTGAAAAAAAAAAAAAAAAAAGAAGAAGAAATTGGGTTGGCAACACAGATAACTAGTCTCGTGACCTTTTATTTGTCTATATGAGAAAAAAAAACAAAAACAAAAACCGCGGGCAGGACAATATAAAACACGTATTCGTGCCGACAAGGGCCTACATGGGCTCATCATTGTGATTCAAGGACATTGTTACTATCGTATTAATAACGAAAATAATAAAAAATAGGTCAATATAAAAAATTTAAAAAAATATATAAATTAATTTTTAATTATAAAAATTAATAGGTCATAACTTGTTAAGTTATGGTTTATAACTAAATAAGTTATAGATAAATTTGTTAAGTTATAGTTCATAATCAGACAAGTTATGGACAAAAATCGTGAATTATGGATAATAACTTGTCAAGTTATGGTTCAAAACCATACAAGTTATGGACAAAAACAGTAATTTGATTTATTTATTAACTTATGTAAACTATTAATCTATTAATTTTAATTCATCTCAAATCTTGCTAGATTTTTCTCTTTCTCCCTATTAATAATGCAAATCTACCGATTTTTGGATAGATGTGACAATGATTTACTGTTTGAGAATATGTTCAAATTGGAGCAGATCTTCTTCTCGGAGAAATAACGAGAGCCTAGCTAGACGTTTAGTTGGAGAATTCAAATCATGTGATTTAAATTATTTTTGATTTACGTGAATTTTTTGTGAGAAAAAATACTGTAACAAATCACAAATCATAATTCGAATCAAGAAACGAATCCCTCTACCAAACATAAATTTTCTACAAATTCTTTGAGTTCTACTACATCAGCCCAATCATCATTTGAAACTTTTGAATTGATTCCCAGTTCCCGAGTTCACGTGATCCCACTCTCTCTCTTCTTCACTTGTCACAGATCATCTTATTTTGCAATGAAATTAAAGGATTAGTGGCTCTCTTAAGTCCAAAAATTTTACGTTAGTAACAATATGGGATTGTTTTTACATTCTTATATTGGTTTTTAATAAACTTTCTAAAGATATTTTTGTGATTGCACTCTAATAGAAACTCATGTTGCACTGGAAGCTTTTTCATCAAAAAAAAAAAAAAGTCATGTTGCACATGACATTTTCCACCTAAAATTCAATGGAAGAACTACCATAGCAATTAAATATTTAATTTAAGTTGATTTTTATCTATAAAGTTAGATAAATAGTCACTAATTTAAAAGTTTAGAGACTCCATTAGCCCAAAAATAAATCTCACCCACAGACTATTGTTTTTACTGTTTATTACAATTTTGTCACTTTACTTCTTGAAATGTCTTATTTCTATCATTTTTTTACTGCCACTTAAGGAGGAAAGAGAGAAGCATTAACCATGTGTTTGTTTAATATGTTCGAATTACTGTTTAAATTTTTTTGTTATAATATTTGCACTCACAAAATTTAAATTTATGTTCAAACATATAAATCAAATACCCTAAGCTTTTCATGTTCTTCAAGCCAAGGACCTAACGTTTCATACGCCAAAAAACAAGGCAATGTCTTACATACATACATACATGCCATAAGACGGTATATTTTCCAATGAAAGGTTGTGCCAAAGCTTTGGATAAGAGTGCTTAGTTTGTTCTGTTATTTAATTTATTTGATTCTACTCTCTCCGCATTTTACTTCACCCGTATAGGATAAAAAAGAACAGAGGAAAGAAAAACAAGTGTTTCCTTTCTCATCTATTTTACTCGCAAAATCAAGATAATTAGTAAAGCTCACATAATATAGGGAATAAGAAAAGTAAACGTCAATCTCAACTGCCATGTATTATTTTGATTAATTAGAATAAAAATAGAATGTCTCTGTCATTATTAAGACAATAATTATTTCGTTATGCACAAGCACAACGATATTTTTATAATCAAATGGATAAAATTTATATTACGGAAATAGTAGAAAATAGATCAATATGAAAAGTTTAAGAAAGTATATAGGTCAACTTTTAGTTATAAAAATTAATAGACCATAACTTGTTAAGTTATAGTTCATAACAAGATAAGTTATGGACAAACTTGTCAAGTTATGGTTCATAACCAGACAAGTTATGGACAAAAACTGTGATTTATGAATAATAACTTGTCAAATTATGGTTCATAACCAAACAAATTATAAACAAAAATAATAATTTAATCTATTTATTAACTTATATAAACTGTTAGTCTATTAATTTTAATTTATTTCAAATCATAACCAATTTTCCTCTTTCTCTCTTTATATTATTAAATGTAGTAACTACATTACACAAAGAAAATTAGGGGTGAACAAAAGCCCATCATGCCCTGCCTGCTATCACAGGATCTTCTTCATGAATGCGATTGACAGTAAGGTCAACTCATATTTACATTTTTATATTCTATATTTTAAAATTATTTAAAATTTATATTTTTAATTTTTAATCTCATTAAATATATACCTTTAAATTTAATTTAATATACATATGTATTTCTTATCTCGATTAATAATTAATTTTAACTTTTAAAATAACAAAACTATTCTTAAGAAAAAGAGAAAAAATAAAGCAAAAACTTTCCAACACTACAAAAAATAAAAAATAAAAACACAAAAAAAAAAATCAATTTCAATGGTATTTTGGATATTTTAAAGTTAAAATCATAAGTTTAAAGATTTTCTTAGTTTTTTTTTTTCATTTTTATTTAAGGGTGCTTTAGGTATTTTATGCTTAAAATCGATAGTCGAGTATGAAAAGATATAAATTTGAGTATTACATTTAATTTAAAAGTATATATTTGATGAGATGAAAAATTAAAAATATAATTTTTGAATAAACTTAAAACACATGGTATAAAAATATAAACATCCCTTTGTAATTTTTTTTATAGTATAATTAATCAATACAAGGTGACGAGAACGAGGGACCATCAAAATCGAAAAGTAAAAGACAAGCTCGACTAATAAAAAACGATAACTACGAAGTTAGAAACACTGGATATGATCATGACATTACTCAAAATATAGAATAAAGCTTAGCATTTTCTTTTTGAAGGTAATAAAGCTTAGCAGTTTGATAAAACGGAGTGGGGTTTTGGTGCTCAACCCTTTATTTATTTGCACTTTGAACGGGGAAAAAAGATTGCTCCTAAGAAATTACAAAAGAAAGAAGGCAGACAAACTTCTTTTGTCACCTTTTCTTGACAATAAACATTCTCGTTTTCAGGGAAAACGTAGTAGGATCGCAAGCCATTAGTTGTGGTAGAAAATTAGCATCTGCAATGAAAAATCTCAATTTATTTGTTGGGAACAAATAGATAAAAATAATCTCAAAACCATGCACTCATAAAGGGTAAATCCGTAATATGGGTCACGACATGACGACACGACTCGAAAACGACACGAATTTTACGGGTTAGGGTTGAGAAAAAAGTGATTCGAGTCAGAATTTGGTTGACCTGAAATTGACACGAAAATACGGGTCAATTTCGGGTTGAACCCGCCTAACCCGAATACGACACGAAACTCGTAAAGAACTAAAAAATACATATATTTTTTATTACATATTTTAAATTTTATTATGAACTTGTGATATCATGATAATTATACTCAAAATCTTATACTATTATTTGCTTAATTTCAATAGATGTTATTGTAATTTAGTGTGTTATGAATTTTAAGTTATTTCTAATATGTAAAAAATTAAATAAAAGTATACAATTTTCGTGTCAATTTCGGATTCACGAGTCAATTTCGTGTCACGGATCAATTTCGTGTCACGGGTCATTTTCGAGTCGTGTCGCGTCAATTCGTAAAGTGATCGTGTCGTATTCGTGTTGCGATTTTTAAAAAATTTCATGTCACGGATTGTGTTCGAATTGACTGTAAATTTAAAAAAAACAATCAAAACACGACACGAACACAATAAGTGACGAATTGCCACCCGTAGTAAATCCCACATGGTAGGACACATAGATAAGACCAATTCAATTAATTATTGTTGAGCAATTGCGGCATTCAACACCAGTAGTACTCCAAGCATTTTCAACAAATAAACAAGACAACAGTGGAGCAATTATATGGTTAAAAGATGAAAAAATGAAAGACACTCGAGATAAAATTGAATGGTTACATCAAAATTTTTGCGCGCCCGGTATCCGCAGTCCCAGAGCATCTATAGCATTTGGCTTATGGCTCAAAAAGGCAACGACTTGATCAAAACTGTCCACCATATAAGAAAGAGCAACTGCAAAAGCAATCTATGAAGAAGATATGATGTGCTGTTGTTATTGAAAAATCGTTCATTTTTTAATTCCAACAGAGAGACAAATCAAATCCTGATGGATCAATCTCATGAGATTCCAAAAGTTGCCTTGAAACTAAGGTTTCCTTGTTTCACATGGTCCTCAAAGAAAAGAAAAATAAACATGCCCACCTTACCAAAACTAATTTTAATATTTTCATAAATAAGCTTGAAAACAAGGAAGTTACAGGTTCTAGCTGGCCTTTTCTATTTCTTCGCGGTCTCCAAGTTCATCTCCTGAAGGTTCAACAACAAATCATCCGAATGCAAGAACACTTTGTTAGCCGAGTTGGAGATGGTATGCGCAATCTCTCTAGCGGCTTCTATCTTCCGAAGTGTGATAAATGCTGGATTGTTGGCAATGGCTTGACCGATCAGCTTGGCACTTGTAGCCTCTCCCTGTTACACACCACGACGAAAAGAAAGCATCAGAAACATTGCTTTGATAAAGAAAAAATAATTTGGAAAACGCCCATACACATACATTAAAACCACGTGAAGTAAAAAGATTAACACGGGCATTTTAGTTCTAATTTATTAGAAAAAAGAGTGGTTTTTCTATAAAGTTTGACCATATTTGGGTAGTAAAAGTGAGTGCCAGAAAATATCTTCTAACTCACCTCTGCTCTGATAACAGCACTCTTCTTGTCTTGTTCAGCTTTTTCCACAACAAATTTTGCCCTTTCAGCTTCTTGTGCAGCTACTTGTTTGGCTTCAATTGCAGCAGTGAATTCCTTCCCAAAAGTTAGGCTGGTGATTGACACATCATCCAAGGCAATGTTAAAATTGGCCGCCCTTTCAGTTAGAATCTTCCGTATTTCCCTGCTAACATTCTATTGCAAATGAAGTCCGTTAGCAAGATATAAATTTAACATTACTCTAAAAGCAGTCCAAAAGTTTTAAATGCTAACAATGCAACTACACGGAAGAGACTAATACTAAAAGTAAATAATTAAAAAAAAAAAAAAAAAAAAAAAAGGACTTTGCTCTGGATCATTCTTATCATCTTTATCACCATTTTTAGTACCCAAACAAGTTGCTTTAGGCATATGTATGCAGTGTACCTCTCTCTGAGTGATAAGCTGGCTAGCATTATACTGTGCAACAACAGCTTTTAAAGTCTCATGAATGATGGAAGGCAGTACTCTCTCATTATAGTTTTCACCAAGAGTTCGGTAGACGGAAGGTAACTGGTCTGCCACCGGACGTGTAAGTACTCGAAGACCAATTTTCACCTGAAGAGAAACAGTCAAAATAGCTTAGTCTTTCTTACAGACAAGATAACTTTCAGAACCTGAATTATGCAGATTAACAGAACATCAAAATTCAAAACCAGATGACGTTATGCCAGCAATTTCCGGAGATTGATGAAAATGCAAGTTTAGGATATAGGACCCAAAAGTAATAAGCTTTATGCTAAAACAAAGACTTGTCTCCAAGAAGAATAAGGTAAAAGTTGGAATTGGGATTATACAGTTTAAAGCAACAGCAAAAAAAAAAAAAAAAAAAGAAGCAACAACAACAACAACATTACACACACCTCAACTATAATAACGAATATAAATCTCCTGCAGGACACACCCAGCAGAAGGTGAAACCATATCCAAAAACCTCTCATAATTGGTTTTTTCACAGGTATTATTAGTTTCACACTTGGGGAAAAATAGGGAAAACACAAGCAAGCAAAATTGCTACAAAGCCAGAAAGCTAAGTTCCTCAAGCTCAATTACTTCAATGACAACTGATATGTTGTATATATTTCCATATTCTGCATAATCTATCAAAGTAATAGAAGAAACCACAAAAAATTGCATGATGGAATTTGTAAATATTTGTTATCCTCCTAGGGTTGCAGATGACTTGGCAAACCAGTTATGCAATGTTCCTTTATGCCGGTTCATTTGTTAAAAGGTGCAACCATGGCATTGAGCACATGGCACACATATTGAAAGATATGAATTAATTGCTGCTTGCAGCTTCCCCTAATAAAAAAACATGAAACGTCACTAACCATTTGGAGGTCGCGGCTCCCTGAAGTACTTTCCACCAAATGAGGTCGAGCCCGGACATCATAAATAACTGGCCTCTCGAACCACGGAATCATAATGTGTGTCCCTTCGGGATAGACCTGCACGCCTAACCGAGAGTTATGTAACCATACAAATACTAATGTACCACAAAACGAAAGGAACAAGAGTATCATCTAGCACTTTTATTAGCAGATAAAATATAGAGAGAGGAAACGTAGCTAGGTCTTGGGTATCCAAGAAGAACATGAGACGGCTATAGGTAACATATAACCAAATATCAACATTTGCTTGTAATAAATAGAAAACTCATGGAAAATAACGACCTTGTCCTTGACACCAACTATGCGGTTGAACACAATTGCTCGGTGCCCTCCTTCAACGTTGTAGAGACTGTTGGCAGCTGCATACAGACCAATCCCGCCAATAATACCAATCTTAATCAAAGCCGAGGCCGCACCACCTGGAACCTTGGGGACTTTGACGTTGTTCAAGTTCATGTTTCTTTCTTCCTAAATGTATAAAAAATAAAATGCCTAAACATTAGACAATATTTATATTACAAGTCAGAAAAACAAATTCATTAACTAAAGCACCAATTGAAAAACGCAGGATACAAATCATATAGGAAATGAAAAGGCAAAAATGTAAAATTAAATTAAATTGAGCACCTAGATTATAAATTGGAAGAATTAAATCCCCTTTTCACAAACTATAGTTAAGGGCAAACCATTTTATCAAACAATCTCTTTTTGATAAGAATTATCAAAGAGTTATACCAAACAAGAATTCAAACAGGAATACCAAATATTTTTAAAACCAACATAATATTTCAAATCATTTTACTTCAAAACCACACCTCATTTGAAATCCAAACTCGATGTTGCGTCGGAAACGATGTCAATTTTCTGAGAAATTGATTAATCCAAGGCGATTGGAACTCATAAAATCTACCAAATCACTTCAAAGTTTCGACCTTATTTTTCAGAAATATATAGAACAAATGGAACAAAATTATTATTAACAAAAATGACACTAAGAACCGAACTTGCAGATATAAAGAAAACGAAAAGCAAAAAACAAGCAAATCGGATAACATTAGAAACCTAAAACCCAAATGTTAAATTTTGTTTCCAACTGATGTTATTTCCTTGGAAAAATCAGACAAAAAAACAGAAATTAACAAGTGGAAGAAAAAAACATAGGATTAAGCAAACATTTGGGTACCTTGAAGACCTCGGAACTCGAGAGTTGAGAGAGGCAAAGGGTTTAGGTCGAAGAGTTAACCGGCAAGAAATTGAAGAAAGCGATAGGAAGGGTTTAAGGGGGAGACAGAGAGAGAGAGAGAGAGAGAGTCTAGAGGCGTGGTACTTAGGTCATATATGGGCCAAGGAGAGAGGGCCCATTAGATGCTATGCTTTGTAAGGGCCACTTTTAATAGGCCCATTTTTTTTATCATTGCAATTGAATATGAAATATGTCCGCTAACTTGAATTTTTAATTCGAGTTGAGATGTAATTTTATGTGAAAATTTTTTATTGTAGTAAAAAAATTAGATGTGATTATTTTTAAGAATTTTTTATTATAATAAAACTTGAATTCTAAACTCGAATCAATAAAATGAACAGAGTCAAATCTTGTTACAAAATTGTTGCCTGGGACCAACAGCACCGCATGAAAAGAGCAAGTGGGTCCCACTGAATTCAACACTATGCAACAAGCAAAATTAGTAAGAAAACAATTAGCTAATAAACTATGGTAGTTTCTCGTATAGTTACTTAGAAAAATGAACTATCGATAGTCTTTTATTTTTTTAACTGTTAGATTTGTATAAGAATCTATTTATTTTGCATATAATTTTAATCAAATTTAACGATTAAAAACTGAGATTACTTGTAGGGCGGCCAACTAGAGAAGCTTTCATAGAGTTTCTCTGGTAGTCTCTGAAAAAATAGATCACCAATAGTCCTCTATTTTTCAACTATCAAATATGCATCAAAATATGTCTATTTTACATAATTTTTTAATTTGATATGATTTTAACTAAATCTAATAATTAAAAATTGAGACTACTAATAGGCTTTGTGAATGTTATATTTGGCGGGAAAAAATGTAAATAATAATAATAATAACACGTAGGTTATTCTATTTTACGTTTAATGCATAATCATATTTCAAATGTTATATTTACTTTTTTTTTCAAAATTTTTTAGCATTGGAACTTTTTTTTGGAAGGGAAAATATTATTCTAAAAAAGCATGGATAAGACTCTAATACAGAAGTGAATAACCACATAATGCAAAGATATTCGATCTTGAACAGTGACTGGATCCACTAGTAAATTCGTATAAAGTATGAAAGTAAATATATTGAAGATTCAACAACGGAAATCCAGCTCGATATATAAAAATTGAGCACGGTAAAGGCACTTCAACAATACCACTATAGTCAATGTATAAGATGAGTTGAATGAGATCAAATGACCCACGACACAAGATTATTCACAAGTTACATAGAATAAAACCATAAGATCAAACTTAACGGATGAGACCTACTATCACTATAAAAGGTAAGGGGACAACTTACATAAGAAAGAATTTCTTCTAAAAAATAAAATACCGCTAGCACGTTTAATTTATAAGGTAAAAACAATCATTTTGTAATTATTAAATGAAAAAATCAAGACATGATCAACCAAACGCCACAGTTTGACATGTATTTTATATTTGATGCTAAATTTGATGACAATATATTATCACATTAGTGAATGAAATCTTACTCAAGTGACAAATTTTGATACTAAAGGTAGAGATTTGGCATTGCATTAATACTTTTGCTAGGTATTGAGAAGTGATGTGGGGTTATGTATGTCATCATAAAAAAAGAGAGAAATATGCATTGCTCTTTCAACATCGATTTTTTATTTTCATTGATGTATTAACTGTTTATTTCTGATAGATCAGTCTGTTACTGATTTACTAATGGTCTATTCTTATGGACTAGCTAACTTTTTAATTAACATTGTGATGTAGTAGAAGCGTGAGAAGAATAGGAAAAAAGGGTTAAATTTTTAAGATTCATTCACTTAGAATACTGGAGGATCTATTGATTCAATTGTAAAACTAAAAAATAAAACTGTTATAAATATGTTGATTCGCTCACAAATATAAAAAAAATAAGATAAAGAATACCGAAATAACTGAAAAGTAAGAATAACTCTAAATTTTATTAATAACTGAACTGCTAAAATAATAATATTGATCAAGCCTTTAAATAGTCCATTGTAAAAAATTAAATAAATAAATAAAGGAAACAGTACAATCCTAATTTGGAAAGTAAATTAAAGGAAACAGAAATTAAACTAATAGGAGAGTAAACTATTCTAGAAAGTTGAAATAACAATAGTCAAAACGACAAATAATAAAACTAGAAATAATCTTCAAAACGGGTATCTAATAAACTGCCTTGCTGTCCACTTTCAGATTTAAAAGTTTTACCATTTGGTTAACTAGACGTGTCCAATCGGTTAACTGGTTGATCCGTGTTGCAGCTCCCACGTGCTGCATGACATTGGTTAATTAATAGCTTATATCGGCCAATCAATCATAAACCACAAACTCAATCAATGATGAACTACCAAGTTAATCAATATTAAATCATAAATTATGGTTTGTTCATTTGCACAATTCAAGTAATAATTTGGATTGTGTATGTGAGAGAAAAATACTGTAACAAAAAAGTTGAATTTAAATTTATGTGAAAAAAATACTGTACCAATATGACTTAAGTCGTAATTTGAGTTGTGCAAATGAACACACTTATCACAAATTAATCATTTCTAAATATGATCATTTTCCTAATTTAATAACTCAAGATTTATTTTGCAATTAAAGAATAAAAAACGGCGGCATCGTTCACTTCGCGGATTCGAGTTTTCAATTCGAGTTGAGATGTGACATTTTCTGAGAGCTTTTTACTGTTGCAGAAAATTTTGATGTGACATTTTCTGAGAACTTTTTACTGTAGAAACCTAAAACTGAAAACTCAAATCGGTGAAATGAATGAAGCACCCTACCATATTCACTCACATGTTAACTTAACTTGCCAACATATCTTGACGGGTAATAATGAAATTATCGTCCTGAAAAAATCTCACTTACGGAAATTTTTGTCAGCTTATCTCTATTATGTCTCTTCTATGAGCAAGGTACATTGTAAACAGAGGAATTAGAGAAACCATTTGGTTCATAAATTTAAATAGAATTTAAATTTGTTTAAATTTTTATGAGATAAAATATTGTTGAAAATAATAATAATAAAATAAACCCAAACTTCTGGTTTTATATCTATGAAACAACGAAGGTTAAGAAACATAAGCACCATAAGCTACAAGTAAAAAAAGGAGAATATTAAGAACTTCTTCCCACTGAAGAACAAACATAAAAATCAAACTTTAATTTTGTTTAGTGATAATATCCAAAACAATAATATGTTTTTTCTATAATATCAGTCATCTGATTTCATCAAATCTCCCGCCTCCATTAACAAGCCACTAATTTGAGAAACGTTTATTTATCTAATTAAAAAATAGTACTTACTATAAATTATTTTATTAAACCATTACATTAATTTTATTGAATAAAACTTATTCGTAATTAATACACATATTGTGATGTATACAGTTTCCAGCGGCCGGGTGGCACTGAGAGAATTGGAAGTAGGACTAGGAACCGGGGAAACAGAAACTATATGTGTGTGTGTGTGTGTCTATATATATATATATATATATATTATAGTATTACTAAATTGAAGAAAGAGAGAAAACTATATTACAAATGTGCCTTAACTTGGAAATCAACTACTAAGGTGGATACCACTAAGCACATACGTGAATTTTAAATCAAGCAACCATTCATCTAATAGATTTATCTTATGCTCATCTAACTAAATTAACTATTTGGAACACGTTTCTGGCTGCATGTGTTGTGATGCAGATTTAAAATCACCATAATGCAGATTTAAAACCACCATTGTCTTTAATTTTAATTTAATTGGTAAATTTCCCTTTCGTTTATTGTCAAAGACTTAGTTAGAATCATAATCTAGGGAAAAAGAATAATGCTATGGATACCCACTCAATTTTTAACTTTTACATACAAACTAATGTATTATGTGAGTTGTTATTTTTATATTAATGGGTGTACACGTCAATTAATAATAAGAGATTGCATATATTAATAAAAAATGACAACTCACGCTAAATTAGTTGGGATTTGAATTGGTGTCCTTAGCATTACTCCGGAAAAAAAAGGTCAAGAACTTCGTTTATAAAAAAAAAAATGCCTCACGTAGTCAAGATTGAACGGTGTATATATATATATATATATATATATGGAGAAAATAAACCTCTTTTTACAATCTCCTAATAATATTATACCAAAAACCAAAGTGTTTTAACATCTTTTTGGTACATATACAAAATCGGATCATGGTTTAAGTGTAAAATGCTTTAATCAAGGAAAACGTCAATAAAAATTGGAAAACAAAAGAAAACATATCCTTGTCAAATTTCTCATTAATAAGCAATATTTTCCACATTCTATACGGACTATCAGTGAAATTAATGTGACATTAATATTAATGTATTACCATAACCACACATAAAATAAGAATTAATCTTCTTTTATTAAATTTTTTTTTTTTGAAGAGTCTTCTTTCATTAATTTGGATCTCTTCATTCTTGTTAACTTCGTAGAAAGACAAATTATGGACCAATTATACATAAGCAAATGGTGTATAAAACTTATGACAATAATAATTGAAAAAAAATAACAATCTGATTCGAAGAGAAAGAAGGAACAAATTAGTACAAGACGGGAAAAGAATACAAAAACAACAACGAATTTTAGATACAAATATATGCCGAAAAAACCACCACAAACGAAAGGCTCAAAACCCCTCATCTTCAACTCTCTCCTCACGAGAGAACCTCCATGCAAACCAAAACAAGCCCGGCAACCAATCCCAACCCTACATTTCTCTTATTCGAATCTCCGGTGCTATCCTTGGCCGACGGTGCCGCCGCCTTAGTCTTTGCCTTGTCGGAGGCGCTGTCGGCGGGGGTGCTCTTCGCTGGAGGAGGAGCAGAGGCCGGGGCCTTGGCCCCGAAGAGCCCCTCGGGCAACAAAACGGCGTCGACTTGGTAGACGGCCAAGGGGAACTCCTCCCTCAAGGCATTGTTGACCTGAGTTTCGACAATGCCGGTGGAGACGTTGACTTGGTGGCCTTGGCCGGTGAAGTTGAGCCCGTCGTTGGAGGATTGGGTTCGGACCGGGTTGGAGACGGTTTGGAGATTTTCTAGGGAATAGTATTTGGGGAGGACATGGTAGAGGATGAGCTGAACTTGGTCCTCCCTCGAGAGGCCGTTGAGAGTGCCGGCCTTGAGGTTGTTGAAGGCGTTGTCAGTCGGGGCGAAAACGGTCATTCCTTCCTTTGAGCTGTTGAGCTGGTTCTCAATTTGGTTGTCCACTTGTGTCTCGGAGAGGAGGCGGAGTAAGGTGGTGTATTGACCGCCTTTGACTAGGATTGCGGTGAGGTTGACCGGGCCGGAGGACGGGGCCGGGGCCTCTTGATCATCAGCTAGGGTTTGGTGGGAGAGGAGGAGGAAGGGAGTGAGAGTGAGGAGGATGAGAGAGAGAGTAGAAGCCATGTTTAGTTAAGAGTGTGAGAGTTTTGGTGGTGATGGTGTTATGGAGAGTATGGGGGGATGAGATGGGGATTTATCATATATGGGATAAGGCGGTGGGTTGAAAATGTTTGTTGGAATGAGCTGGCTGATGAATTGTATATTTGGAAAAAAAATAATAATAAAAAAAGAGTGAAAAAAAGTTCATATCTGTTTTGGAATTGTATAATCATTCAATGTATAATTAACTTTATTTTTTTTTTGTTGTTATTTGAATTAGTGGGCAAAAATAGGATTAATGGTTGGCAGAATATGGTAGTTCTATCCCCTTCATGAGTGTGAAAATAAGAACCAAAATATTCATGGCGTATTAAAAGTGACCAAAACATCTCAACTAACAATATTTATGTGCGGTTCATAATAGTCAAGGGAACCCCATTTTCGATCTACAAACTATTTAATTAGCTTGTTGAAAATTAATCAATTAATCTTCTAAAATTATATCTTCCAAAGTTTTTGTATTGCAAGTATATAACATGAAAGATATCGGGAGAACTAATTGATCTCTCTCTTGAATCTATTGAGACATTCCAATTGTCCCTAGTTGGGAAATAAATTTGGAATTATATATGGAGACAAGAAGACATGCATACAAAAAAAAAAGAAAAAAAAAAAAGGGGAACAATCTTGTGGGCAATGCATGTTTGATAAAATGTAGCACTCTTAGCTAGATAATATACCGTGCCAATTGAGTCTTCACTGGGCATTTACACAATAAAATGTCCCCAAAATCCGATAAAAGTACTCAAGCTCAATACACAAGCTAGTATCAGAAACAACAATTTCAAGAGGGAAATAATTATGTTGCTTTGAACGGTTACTTTATTGTGGACATGTAACATGGTATTATACTTTACACCACGTTCATAGCTCTTGTACAATTACAGATCTGACAAAACAAAATGGGACCCTAATCCAGTCACTTTGCAAGTTGCATCATGCAATCTTCACTGTCATATATATATACATATATAATATAGTTTGATCAAATTATATAGGTATAAGCTATAATATTGTTCGCTGTCTGGCAGCCTGGTGTTACGTGGCATGTAGGACATATATTCCCTTGTAATCATCCAAATATATGCTAACCACATTATACCAGTGAAGAAAATAACACATTATTATTATATATATCAAGTGTCCAATTATCTAGTAGCTAGTTAGGGGCTACTATCAACAATATGCTTTGGTTTCCCTTAATTTATCTCCTATTCTATTTATTATATCTTGACAAATTATCAGCACATGTATTGACAAGTGTGTGTGTACATATATATATATATATATATATATATAGTTTCTGCGACTAATGTAGGTTTTTCAGATTTGAGCATCTAACATTTATGTATTTTATTGTTACTTTGCAATTCAAGATTCAATTTCTTCAACCTTTTGAAATAATAAAAACAGAGAGACTCAGGGCCTGTTTGTTACCGTTTTTGTTTTCATTTTTCACGTTTTTCGAAGTAAAAAATTGAAAACAGAAATGAAAAACGCGTTTGGTGAAGTTTGTGTTAGAAAACAAAAACAAAAATGTTTTTGTCTTTTTGTGAAAAACTAAAAACGAAAAAAATACGTTTTCATTTTCACGTTTTCGTTTTTTGAAAACGGATTTCAGTTTTTTTTTCTTCTCTCTCTTCTCCAGCCGAAGAAGACGCCGGAGAACGCCCACCGTCGCTCATCCAGCTGGTGTCAGCACCCCCCCCATTTTCATGGGTTTTCAGTTTATTTAATATATTATTAATTTTAATATTATATACATGTTTTTAAAAATTAAACTACCAAACACAATTTTAGTTTTTTTAAAATTGAAAACAATCTCAGAATAAAACTACCAAACGCATTTTCAGAAATGATTCCAAAATGAAAATAAAAACGTTTTTATTTTCATTTTCATACAAAAAATAAAAACATTTTGGAACCAATTCCAAACGCACCCTCAATTTCTTCTCTATGTCATTATCTATCAATTAGGAGGACCAAATCAACAACCAATTGGATTGCCGTATCTTCTGATGGCCTATCATTTTCTGTACAGATAGACAAGCACCGTCTTTCAAATAAGAGAAAATTCCGGCCCTTAAACGTCCCTATTTTTTTTTGTTTAATTTTGACTAATTGATACATGTTCAAGAGTCTTCTTTCGCTTAATTTTCCTTCTCGCAAAACCCGTATGAATTTAATACAAATGCCTAAACATCATTCTATTATCCACATGTTACATATATATTTAATTTAGGAACCACAACAATTCAAACTTAGCACGTAAATGTTGGAGATCAAACGGAATTTTCATCAAGCTAATAAGCCAGTGACTATGTAAGATATATATATATATATATATATAATACAATATACATGTCTCATAAATATATCATCCATCACGTAATATCATATATATTTGAGGCCCTCCTTCCTCTAACCTCATGTAGAGTTAGGCTGCAATTTGAAATGCGAATCATCAAGTAGTTGTTCAAATCCGTGTTGGGTAAGGTGAATAATGTACAAATTTACCAAATATAATAGAGAAAAGTGACTTGCGGTCGTTCAATCAACAAAAATGTATCAACAAGTAGTGCCAAAAACAGACTAATGAGATGTTTGGTTCATAGATTAGAATCATGTAATTAGAACCATTTTTTATTTACGTGTATTTTTTGTGAGAGAAAATACTGTAACGAATCATGAACCATGATTCAAATCATGGTTTGAATCCTCCAACTAAACACCCCCTAACTAATTCATCAGCTTTGGCAGCCTGGCGTAAACATGCTTGGCATATGTTATATGTATTCCTAAGAGTTAATAATATGATTTTTTTTTTTTTTTACATATTAGGGTTTTTTAGCATATTTACCTCTTGAAGTTGTTGTGATTTAGCAAATTGCTCTCTAAATTTTTAATTTTGGCAATCAATTTCTTGAACTTATTTAATTGTTACAACTAACTCCATTTAAGTAACAGTGGTTAAAAATGGACGAAAGTTGACATGTACCAGTCACATGTGAAGTTTTAAAGGGTTAAAATTGATATTTTACATGCCAAAATTATTAAGTAAAATAATTAAAAAACCTAGATAAATCTCAGCTATTGACCTTAAATTTTCTCATCTCAACCATCCATTCAATTTGTTTAAAAAAATCTAAAAAAAAAAAAATCTTTCTTTCTCTCTGATTTAAGGTATATAATTCAGAAGTATTTATGAAATAAATCTCAGGACAAAAAATATAGAGATGATACCATAATAGCAAAAAAGCGACTACAAATTTAACTTTAGTTAAAATAACTAAAATTTAGAAAGTTGCAAGACAACGAAATCATAAAAACAAAAACAATATTAGGAAACGATGACACGGTCAAAACGAGGAAAAAAAAAAAAAAAACAACAACAACGTGAACAGATGAATGAAGCATTAATAATGATTAAAAAAAGTATAAAAGGACAACAACACAAGGAAAATGATAATACTATGTGAGAGAGGATTAGAGCCTTTGAAAACGAAATCATTGTCAAAACGGTGTCATTCGAAACGACATGTATAAAACGAAAATAACATAAAATAATAAAAGAAAAAAAATTGAAAAACGACATCAAAATATATAACGCCAATTGGCAATAAGGTCAAAATGCATAGGCAATCACAATCTAAAAAAACAAACAAAAAAATGATAATAAGACCAGAAAGGAAATACGAGCGACAACAACTTGTAAGACGACATCAATTGAAAAAAATATCATCCAAGTAAACGGCAACGATCGTCATAAAAAGACAACAATAAGAATAAACGATATCCTCATATAATAAGTTAGCTAAAAAAGAAAAGCCAATCTCAAAACCAACATAAAAACGACATCAACACAAAAACACTACATTAACCGGACGAAAATACATTATTGAGTAACGACATAAATTTTGAAGAAACTACATTGTTGTAGCTTTTCAAAAAGTGTTCGGATAAAAGAGCTTAATGAGTCAAAATAATTTTTTTTTAATTTTCTAATGAGCAATAAAAATGTAGGATTGAAGTTTATAATTAATAAATTACACTCTAGTATAAGTTTTAAAGTCTATTTATAAGTGTTTTTTAGAAGCCTCATTTTATGGCTTTGACTAGAAGCTTTTTTAAAAAACTGAATAACTTCTGACTAGAGTATTCAAACACTTCCAAAAACAGCTTTTAGAGTTAAAAAACTAAGAACAGTTTTTAAGAAGTTCTTTCAAACATGCCCTTAAAAAAGGACAGGTAATAAACGACATGAACTGTGAGACCGCAAGAATCTGCAAAAATGATATCAATACAACGGATGACATCCAGTTTAAAAAGATAACAACCTCATAAAAGGACGCAGACAATCTGTATGAAAACGACAGTAGCTTGAAAACAACATATGAAATTAAAACGACAACAACAGGACTGAAGGAACTCTAATAGTACGAAAACAATATTAAAGAATGACAATGGTTTGATACTAACCTGCTCGTAACAGAGTACAGAGGCAGCGAAGTTAAGAGAGTTGACACAATTCTCATTTTTTGTAACTTCAGTAGACTAAAAGCTTTTTCGCTAGATCGAAGAAGCTTTGCGAATTTTGTTGATATCGGGTTCTGTTTAGTGGATCTTGTTTGTTTATTTTTCATTTCTTGGTATCAAAATATTTAATTCAGTTGCCAAATCCGTTTTCCTGTCTTGCAAAATCAATAGTGTTCAATTTGTTTGTGCTTCGTTTGTTTGATAACTATGACCATTGTTTGTTTATGGTTTTTTTGCCTTTCAATCCTTCGAAAACCTTTACGGATTTTTCGACATATGGCCAACAACAAATCACCACTACATAATTTACAAGACACTAGTATCTTGGTCGTCTTCTTCAATTATGGAAGTGATTTCGCTGTCCATTTCCCTGCCGATTTCCACCGTCTTCCAGCTACTTCCGAATGAGATCTCACCGTCATAGGTTCCTCTGGTGGAGACTATCTTCGGTTTCGAGTTCGACCTCGACATGCTTGTTATGTCTTGCTTTCCATTATGGTAGTGGCGGCCGTCACATGAGACTTCCTCTTCTGTGATCTCTAAAGAGCTAAAAGTAGTAGTAGGAACTGTAGTAGTATTAGCAGCGGCGGTAGTCATCGAAAGTGTTGAAGTAGGAAGGTGTTGTTGTTGCTGTTCTGGAGTGTTTTTATTTGGTTCATCTGTATTCGAAAGGTCAGTCGTATCAGAGTGCCACGAAATTGAGGGTCTGTGACTCGAGATAGGATTGTTCTTTGTAAGATTGCGCCTCGCATTCTTGAGCCAGACATTAAGGCCTTGGACCACATTCTCTGTGAACACTGCTCTCTTCATGCCAGAACCCATCTGTGAAAATTTTACCATAATATTTTGTGGTTCCAGAAAAAAGATAAATGAAGATGTTTTACAGCCATTATGTGCTAGTACCTGAGTAACAAGTGCATAAAGAGGTAAGGTGAGGTAACCACAAAGGAACTGCACAAGGACTCCCATGGAGATTGTTATCGCGATATCTTCCTTAGCGCGGTTGAAGCAAGATCTTTGACCATATTCAAACTGTTGTTGTCAATTTTGGATCAGCTTTTTTTAGAATTTCACAAATCTTGAGCTTACCAACATAAGATACCTACCCATGTCCAGGTGAAGAATGCCAGCTGAAAGGAGTTCTGCAGATTAAAATTTAACCGTTAGAATTACGCATATCAGTAAGCTATTGACATTATCTTTACACGTGAAATTCCCATTTATAGTTTTTGTTATGTTTTTACTCAATCAATTTGCAGAGTCGTGAATCTCTAATCCGACCTGACCACATTAAGAGTAAAAACATCTTTTGCCGGATTTACTAGTTTCCTGAGCGATTAATGAACTCTACGAAAGCGAAATACATTAGCGAACCGTCTAAGTACCTGGATTAGGACAAACTGGAGGAGATGAAGAAGCCAATGAGGTTTTCCAAACCAGAACAGATCATTATTGGGTTTTACAACAAAGCTTCCTTGAATGACAGAATTCTTCTTGTAAGTCTCCAAGCCCATTTTGGTTATTATGATTTGCAGTTTTGTCCCCACAACCAGAATAATCTTCCATAGAGCACATGGAAAGGAAGATTGTCAAGACTAATCTTAGATAGATTAAAATAAGCATGCCAAAATAAAGGAAAACTTAACAACTTAATTTGAAGAAAAGAACGAAAATAATAAGGTGAAGTTTCTAATCATACCCCTAGAGGAATGAAAGTTAGCCAGTAATGGTTGTAAAACTCTGCAGGCAGATCAGAGATACAAAGTTACCAATTCAATCAAAACATACTTATGACGCAAAGTGTTATGTAAGAAATTCTAGGATTTGGATTAATCATATTACCGTGCGCGCTGAAGAATATGAAAAGAATGCAGAAGATCCAGATCCATAATCTGCAATAGTAAGTGCCAGAGTCTTAATATTCTCCCTAGTAATATGTTAGCCTAACACTTTTCTTTTCCTTTTTCCGTTGACAACGAATTCGAGCCGTGCTGTTGAAATGAACTTTACCTGACTCCAACAACCTGCTCAAAATCATCATCGTAAGCTCTGGCAAGAAATTTCTGGAAGTTGAAGTCGCTGCCTTCAGCAAAGTTGGCCTGTGGAGGGTGGACTTTTTTAAGTCTTTGCAAGCTGTTGGATGTTCTTAAATTCTGTTAATGAAGTTTATCTGTTATAGCTTACCGAAATGAACCCGTTCCGAAGTGTGAAGTAGTCAATTTTCGAGATTGCTGAGCCACTGAATTGTCGAACCAAACAAACCTACACATAGATAATGTTACATGATAGTATCAATATTGCTAACATAATACATATTTTGAAAGAAATACAGGAGATTAATTCTATTTTTCTATCATGATATGCTTGGCATTTAACGTCTCTTCTGCTTGTATACAGATAAGACATCCCCTGAAGTACCTAGTTTCAATGTGTTGGTAATATTTTCAACTTTAGAAAATGCAAATTTTTTGAAATTTATGAAAATTAAGCATATGATCAAGATACTTTAGATATAAATCAAACCTGCAATATGTGAAATAATATTTGACTTTGAAGTATCCCTTGTTGTGGTTACTGGTTTTGTTTAGAGATATATAAGGAAGTAAAGACAACTAAATAGCTGAATTATTTTTTTCCTTTTTTGACTTTTGCAACAACATGTCATAAAATACTGACATATATAATGAATCAATTGCCATCTGGGATACTGACTTTCTACTTACTGGGCCAAGCAAGAAAGGGTATTTACTCCAGAACTTCAAATGCCGTTTGCCGAAAGATGTTTGATCTATATACTGGAACCTCCTTGGATCTGTAACATGTATATGACATTAAAAATTGTACTTGTAGGAGAGAAAACACTGTAATAAAAAAGTTGATTTAAATCTTTGTAAGAGAAAACACTGTAACAAAAGAATTTGAGTTGTGAAAAGAACAAGGATTGCTGAGTATTTAATGTACCATTAAGAATTTGATACTCAAGAGTTCGAGTTTCGTCCTCCCATGCTTTCCATCTTCTCATCTGCTAATTATATTAGTCATAAGTAATGCTAATACGAGCAAAATGATATCCGACCCTACTTATTAAATATGTGAAAATTGTAGTAAATAACAGCTTTCTGAAAATTATTTTAACAAATGATAGTATTTTAATTAATTCTGATCTATAATCCCTATGATTTTCATTGATTTTCCTAAATTTTGACTTTGTAAGATAAATTATTTAGACACCTTAGCCATCCCAAGAAACATTGTGATGAGGCAGTAAAGAACATGAAACACTGCCAATACGGAGACGAAGATATTCAGCTGCGAAACTCCTTCCCTTGACATCAGAGAAACCATCCCCTGGAAATCACAAACAAAATATTTGAATTAAATTTGTAAAAGGAGATCACAGAATGGTGCAACTTATGAATTATTATGATATTATTGGACCATAATTATAAGTAAAACACACTTTTCCTTTCATGGACTTTTTTGCAAATATAGTTACGTTGACTACGCAATAGGCTTTGCAGTCAGCTAAAATAATGGTATTAGGAAGGAAAAATTGAACTATAATTAAGAGGGAATTCATTACCATTGACTCGCAGTAATTTTGATCCTCATCGTCGGTTTCCGCGGAAAGACTCATTGTGTTAGACTGATCATGATCATATTCATCAGAGTATGGTGGTGAAGCTTGTGTGGCCGATGCCACAGCTGGTTCTACAGACTCCAAGGGATCTTCACATGGAAGAAAAGAATTTGCCACACTATGGCTGACACAGATTTTCGATATCGGTACTTCCGACACCGTGAGAAGCAATGATATGAATCCCAGCTTCATCATTTCTGTAGGCAAATTCAAAATAGTTTATTTGATCACAAAGATCAGTTTAGTTTATAACTTTGTAATAAATAACTGATCAAGACCGAAGATGTATATATTATAAGAAAATACCGTGATGTATTCAATATATTTTGCTAACCTGCTTTGGACTTCTCCAAAGCCCTATTGAGAGACTTTCTTTTTCTTCTTCTGAGAAACTGATCATCAAATTAATTAACAAAACAATTAAACCCCATGGCTTCAAAGGATCAAAAATCGTTTAATTTGTGTACAAGTATGGCGTCAATATATATATATATATATAATATATATCTGTGTGTGTGTGTATTTGTGCAGTACGCATATATATTACCTTCGTTAGACATTGAAGACCGGCTTCAATGATAAAAGATAGAAGGAAGAAAAACAAAGCAAAAATGGAAACAGCCCAAGTTGGCGTATATTCAAGGGAATTCCCTGTGGCCATCTCTCTCTCTCTCTCTCTCTATTTTTGACAGTTTCCTTTTCTAGGTCAAGTTAGAAATAAGAGGGAACCAAAATGCTTGTATTTATACGTGCTTTTCAGCAATAAGGCAAAATTTGTGGGATTGTATTTGTCAAACATATCGCTTTCTTAGTTATGATTTGTCATCATACGTACAAGCACGTACGGAGGTTTCTTTTGCTTTATAAAATTTTCCCGCAGCCACGTACTTCTGCGTTCACCATCAACATGGCACTGTCAAGAAAATTACAAAATTAGGAAATTTAATGAAGGAAAAGTAATGCACATTTGAGCTTAATTTGATTTCTTTATTTATGATGTACGTAATTAGATTATTTATATCATAAGTTTTTAACCTGCAGTGTCAAAAGTATATTATTATAGGTAGTGGCAAACTTTTTGACATATAACTTTTTTTTTCAAAAAAAAAAAAAAAAAAAAAAACCTTTTGACATATAATTATATGCAAAATTTCCCCCATATAATGGCTTATTCTCCCGGGGAAAAAATAATAATGCAAAAGTCAAAAGTACATGCATGTGACAGAGATCATAAGCAAAAGTCTTCATGCTTATCAATATGTAGCCTTACTGACTTTATATTGCATAGGATCAGACAAGGGCCAGCACATAGAGGACTAAAAAGGAAACATATGCTTTCTTCAGCTCGATCAAATATTGGTAAAAATAAACTAACTAATTAATGATCGAACGAAATTGACTGTGGATATGAAGTACGGCTTGTAAATATCTACCTTGGTATACGTTGATTGAAAAATAAACCTTTGGGCGTCGTAAACGGTTGAAACCATTTTATTAGCAATGATTATAATTCCTACTTTCCTTTATAGGAGGCATATATCTATATATTAGTACCATCTATTATCGGAGAATTTCAATATAATGTATGAGGGTTACATATAGGAAGTTTATGGTGATAAATACTTGGTACCTCTACAATTTTAATGTTATATTTAATGAATGTTGTGTTAAGATTCTCATTTTTATATGAAAGTATTGTTCACTTAAGAGAACACTTTGTGCCTGTTTGGTAATATTTTTAAAATAGTTTTGTTTTCGTTACAAAAATGAAAATGAGATTGTTTTGAAAATCATTCTGGAACTGACTTTGAAATTACGTTTGGTGGTCTTTCAAGAGATTGGTTTGAGTATGATAAAAAAGTGAAATCGTATTTGGTTATATTTATGTTTGTTTTGAGTACATGTAATTAATAATCTTAAATTAATATATTAAGTAATTAATAATTGATAATTATTTAGCAAATAAAAATTAATATATTAATAATATAATAATAATGGATAAATTATTATTAATGAGTACATTAGTAATTAAACTATATATAATAAATTAATATGCTAAATAATTAAAAAATAGTAATTAGTAATTAATTATAAGTAATTACTATGCTAATAATGTACTCATATTTATTAGATTTTAAGTAATTAATAAGTGTATTAAGAAAAATAATTAGTATATACATAATTTATTAATATTTCGTTTACTACTTAAATTTTTATCTTTTAGCTACATAATTAAATAATTAGTTAATTAATTACTAATGTTTATTTAATAATCTATTATTTGATATATCACATGATCAATTTTTAGTAATTATTCTTTTCATAATGATTAATTACTAATTATCAATTATTAATTATTATTGATTAGTATATTACATGTTGATAATTATAATTTAATATTAATTA